CACATTTATGCAGTAAAAAATCAACCCTAACATACCCCCAAACTTAGCCATTCCCTTATCCTCAAGCAAAAAAACACAACAATAGATCTAAAACATTCAACATGCTAGAAAAATGAATGAGCAACAATCCAACGTGCCTCCTCCAATTGTTAGTCCATCGAATGCACCAAAACTTCATTACCTACTTAATCAAATACATCCGACAATCCATATTGAGTATTAATAATCGAATGAGAAAATCTTACCACTTTACCCCTTACTCTAACGGCATCTCCTCGGTCTGGGTGGATAGCAGCATAAAATTCTTTCACTAAGGCCTCTGACACACGCGTAGGTGGGGCAAACAACATCTCCCAACCATTCTCCACAAGCCATGGCTTGACATATTCTGGTATAGACTCTGGCCCATCATCAAACCCTTTTCAACTAAGATACCACCGGCTGTGAAGTTGGGTTTTTCCACTTTCAACCTCACCCTTTTGACTTTTGATGGTTGTGGCTCGGTAGTAGTGGACCCATCTTCATTGGCCTCTTCAAGATGCAATTCTACCTCTCCAAGCAACCTAAGACTCTTGGCTTTTTTAGATGGACCAGCCTCAACTTCTTTTTGCACGGCCAAACGTGCTACAGCAGCTCGGGTGCGAGGTCTCGAAATTGCATCAGGCGCAATTTGGGTTAGAGTTTTCTTTTTCTTTGCTTTCTTCACCACTTCGGCCAAGCACACCTCTTCCTCTCAGTTCTCTRCAACAACAACAAAGTTTGGGTCAGAAACATTCAAACTCGAAAAAGAAGGGATCTTACCTTTTGAAGAAGAGGAAGATKATTCCTCCATGGGTTCATTTGGGACATCCTTAGGGTCGGATGCTTCTTTTTGCACTTGAATAGGGGTCTYCTATTCATCTTGTTGTGAYTCATGCACTAGAGTACGTATTCGCACTTCAAACTAGGAGATATCGTTGTTTTCTTCTTCTTCCTCACACTCTTACCACTACAACAAATCTGGCTTTTAATGTCAGTCAAAAATAAAAACACGGASGAAACAATAATGGATGGCGAAAACAATGACGGAAGGAGGAAAAATGCGCTTAAATTTTAAAAGGGAAAAAATTTAGCTTTCAATGATCATTTAAAACCGACATTGTTTTAACAATTTTAATTTCAGTTATTGATCGACATTGAAAGTGCTCTTAAAATTTTCGCCAAAAAAGCGGGATTTCCATATTTTCATTACCGCTTAAATTTTTTGGATTCCGCATTTCTCTAGGTCTTCCCATCATCATTTCTCAACTTTGTATTTCTTTCTACCCTTATTTCTTTCTTGTGCAACCCACTCCACCTCGCAAAGTACTTTTAAGATGCTTGTTCTATCTCAATCCTTATCGATCACCAATTGTCATTCCCTATTGATCGAAATAAACAAATTAAAAGACCTGCTGCTTGGTGCTTCATCTCCTTCTAATTCGAGTTTCGACGAAGTATAGCTTTTGCGAGGTATTGTTGTTTCCTYCCTCCAAATTTCTAAATTAGGTCAAAATTGGGGAAACTCATGACACCGATGGGGCTTCTATCTCATGAATGTATTTATTCTATCTTCACTTTCCTAAGACTTCACTAGGTCTAATTTTGTTTTCAAGAAGTTTATGATACCATTGATTTGTCATTCTAATAATTACAGTATTCTTTTTTGCTTGCGTTTACTTGTGGCATGGTTTTCTCATATGTTCTCTAGCTAATACTGTTGTTATGTAAAAATTTTAGTTTCTCCTTACATTAAAGCATTTTAGTTTCCCCTTCCATTATGTGATTTCAGTGGAAGCATGGAGGAAATGAAGGTGTTATTCCATCAAAAAATATTTATCAATTGCTTTGTTGTCATCTACCATGCAGGTGTTAGTCTTATAATCTCAGTTCATTAACATTCCTAAAATCATGGTAAAATCTGTTATTTAAAAAGACAACTTAGCTGATTTGATTTGATAGATTTTCTCTTGTCGTTTATTCACAACGTATTGATCAATTATAGGAATATACTGTAATTTCAATATGAATTTCCTTAATCCAAGGTATTCTCCCCTGTTTTTTACTTATGTGACCATTCATTGCTGCCCTTACCTTTTTTTCTTTCTTCTCCATGCTATTGTATCTAGTAGTGTAAGAATAAGCCTATAAGCCTATAGTTTTAGCCTATAATTTTGACCTTTTTTTTAAGTATAATTTTGACCCAGTTGATAATTAGACAGTTTTAGGGAATTTTTATTTGCGCCATTAATTTTAATAATTAATTTAGTTGTGAAATTTTGTTATATATATATATATAAATACCCGTCAGGTCCAAAATTAAATTAGCATGGCCACACACACCTACAACTCAAGCTCAAGACTACTGTTATCTCATTCAGCTTATAACAACAATCACTTGAGGGTGCATGTCTTAAGTGAGGAGAAGATTTAAGTTGTAATTCTATAATRTAAGTATTTACATGGCCCATGGGAGAAAGTGTAGATAATGACTACTCACATGGTTCTTCTGAATTTTCAGCTACCAAATAGTTGGACACATATGACTGTAAATTTATGTCAAATATTTTTTSCTTGAATGTACAATAAAATGGATCGTGCTAAGAACCTCTTTTGTGTTGAATTTATCTTATTCATTAAATTAGAATACTTATTGAACATTTCTTTATATTGTAGGTTTATGGTTCCTTGCCTTTCCTATCAAGCTTTGTTCAATAAATCATGTGACTTTTCCAACCTATGCAAAACTTGCATTTTGACGTGGTAAGCTTCCACATTCTTTTAATTCTTGAGTTTTCCTTTTTTATTTCCTAATTATTATGTCATTCTATGCGAATTAGTTACTGAGTTGTGTAATTAGAGTGTCCACCAAAAATAAAAATGAAGAATTTTATAAGTAAATATTGATTAGTGTATGATAGTAAAAAATTAGCAGATTTCATTGTTGAGTTGAAGAACAATCAATAGTTTGAATGGGGCAAGCTAAAAGGCCTACCACACCCCTTATGACATCTTTCAAAGGACATAGAAGGCAATGTACATCTTCGCTTAAGATACATAGAGGGATGGTACATGAGAGGAAGGGTAGTCGTGGTAGGCTTTCAACTCTTATGCTAGTAATGAAGATGAATTTTCATTGTCCGATAATCTTTTTAACTACTAGCTTCCTCCAGTTTTACAGGGTTGTGTACTTATATTCTTACAGCTACTTGAATAATATAACTTTTAACTATTTAATGCAAGATGAAGTTGTTATTACTCTTTATTTGAGTGTTTCGCAAAAATTTGGGAATTCACTTCTATAATAACTTGATATTCTTTGATGCATGTTTGCACTCTTTTGCTTCAATTCCATTTGATCGTTTCTTTGCATCGTTTCTTCAATTGTAACAGCTTCTTTCGAATTTAATAGGAATATATCATATGTATTTTACATATGTTGGAAGGCCTGCATTGGTCATCCAAGTAAGGTAAGAAAGGAGTGAAATATCATTAATGTAAAAGAAAGCTAGAAGARTAGGATGTCTTTTTCAGTATTTTTAAAAATAATAATTTTATTGCTTTCTTTCTTGCAAGATCGAACATATAGTATGAGATTCTTGTGGTTTTGCGTGATCTCATTTTTAGAATACATGTCATTCATCATATTTGTGGTTTTGTGTGTTCTTTTCCCCGGTAACTTTTATTTTTTTTGTCATCTTGGCTTTAACATTTCTTCTTGGTGGGATTTCTTTCCTGAAAAATGGTGCAAAAYAATTCCATCAGTACTATTTTGTGTGTTTAGCCTATAACAAATAACCTTTTCCATAGCCTTTTGTTATAGCCATTATGATAATGCAGCTGAATGTTTGTTAGAGCATTTGCTAATTCTCTAATCTATTTAGGTAATAAATCGTGTTGAAGCTTAGTGACAAAACGAAGAAACAAATTAAATCAGAAAAAGAGCATCATGCAAATTGTGAAAGAGTTTTCAGGCTCAAACACTCAAGCTTTTACTTCCACGACTTGACTAATTTTCTCCTTTATGGTTAAAGGTGAGATTTTCAAGAAATCAAATTCTATATATTCTTCGACATCTTCTCTTAACTATTTTTATTATGGATTGTGTTTTGTGAGTATATTAGTAGGTATATTTAGCATTTGTTGGTTTATTTATTTTTCCCATAAGTATATTTCAAGTGCTCTTGGTTTATAATGATTTACTTATGCTGTGAGTTATTGGCATTGATTTTATTTATGTGATTTCACATTAAATTTCGTAAGACAAACAGTAGATTATCCTAGGATTTTCTTAATTGAGTTCTCTGCATTACGTTCAAGTCATTAGTTACAAAATACGATTAATGCTTCTTATGATGTCCCTCCAAAATCATCTGATTGTTTTTTTCCTCAAATAGGATAACACATTTGACTCACGGAGTTCATATTTCCGCTGCCTTGTTTATCTTTTCTTCTTTCAGGGAACTATTTTTCTTACTTGGTACCAGCAGCTGCAATTGGAGTAATGAGATATTGTTACATGTGGTGGAAGGTAAAACCTTCTGGAAAATTTTAACTTTGCAAGACACACTATTAAGTGTTTTGTATAAACATATTTTTGTAGCTTGCCTGGGTTTGCTTATAAATTTTCTTACTACTCTCTAGCAGGGATGTTCATTTTCTGACATAATGCTTGTGACGAAGCAAAACATGGCAAATGCTGTCTCGAAACAACATGGAACATGTGCATGAAGCTTTGGCTGTAAGTGACTGGTTAGACATTGTGTAATGACCTTAAACTAAAAAGCTAGTTTAGAGTTGATCAGTATTTTAATTTTAAACCATAGTCAACAAGGAAGCATCTGACAAAGAGGTTGGAGAACTTGGATYGGAAGCTGCAGGAAGAGATCGAAACAACAAATCTCATAGCAAATAATGTAAGAACTACCTTCGAACTTTTGAGTCTCTTAATGGATATAACATTATGAGATCTTACCTCAAAGATGAAGTTCATCCAAAAACCAATTATTATTATATGAAGCATCTTATTAGATCCAATATGTACTTGTTGACTAGAATTGGTAAGGAATCATGCTAGTCTTTTTTACTTTCATGGTTATTGAGATTGAGATGAATTTCTTAGTCTTTCAAAATTTTATTTTGAAGCAAACCTCTCCCTATACAAGCCTTTGCTCTCAAATTCTTAGAGAAGAGACCATTTGTGAAAGAAATTGTATAAGTATGGATACTGTAAATGCAACATCCTTGGAAGTTTTATCTACTTGCAGATGGAGTGGTGGGGTTGTAAATTTACGAGGTTCGAATAGAATGGACATCTTTATCTTAAAAAATACCTTAACTGTGCAAAAATGAAGTCATTTTTATTGAAATATTGAAATATTATTGACATACAAACGATGACGCACAGACAATGATGTACAAACGATGACGTACATAAAATGACGGGCGACAACCACCATGGAAAATGAAAAGAAACAAGGACACTAATAAAGATGTCGATCATTWTCCGTCATGGTTATCCTTTCATATGACGGGCATTGCCCGTCATTAAAATTGTCCGTCATTGAAAAAGAAACAAGGACATGCATAGATGTCGATCAGTGAYCGTCATTGTTTTCTTTTAATGACGGGCAATACYTGTCATTAAAAGTCAATTTTGTTAGTGTACTCATGGATTTCTTGAGGTAAATCTCCAAGATCTCCATCTTCTCCATCAAAATTCAGTCTTTCTTGAGCTTCCCTATCTTCCTCGAGTGGATTTTCTCATGTTGCTTCATTTAAAGCCACCAAAATTTCAGGAATTTTAAATATCTAGTCTTTTCYTGTTCTAAATCATCAAAAACTAAAGGCTTTTTAGTCAAAATAAGATCTGGAAAATTGGGAGACAAAATACCTTGTAGAGTGGTCAGTGGAATGCTCTCCAAAATTGCGTCAGGCGTAATTTGGCAATGAATTTCAACCATGGCCGAATCTGAGTACTCATATAGTTTTGTGTCGTGCTCGAAATCACCAACAACATGTTCTTAACCTTCTACACCCATAGCAACAGTAATGGAAGGAGGGGGAGGGATAGACAACTCTAAAGAATTGGAAACAGGGTTGTTTTGAGGGAAATCCAACCTATGGCGATTATTCATATCATCTAATGCTAATTGAATTTCTCCACTCAATCTTCTTGAATTATCCATAAATCTTTGCCATTTTTCATTTAGTTATGATATCTTAGGCACAAATTTTCTTATTCTCTTTATTCCTAATTTCCCTTTTCTTATTCTCAACGACAATACTTTCATTAATGCTACCAATTCTTTCTTCTAAATCAGAACCTTTATCACCCACAGATTGATTTTTTCTAAGGTAGACCTTACTAAATTCTTCTAAAATTTTTTTCACTATGGTCTCCTTCATTAACCTTAGCAATATGAGGTTTTAAAGTCATTTTTTCAGAACTTTCATTACTTATAGATAGGTTCTTTCTAGGGTTCATTCTTAAAGCCTCCTCTAGTTTCTTTCTTTGTGCCGTAGGATCAAAAATTAACYTTTCATTAGAGATATAAGGGGGTTCAAGAGGGATCATATCGGGAGGAGTAGATGGGGGTAGCATCACTTTCTTCTTCACCTTCTATTTGTCGGCTTGGAGGAGGAGTCTTCCATAGATTCTCGGCACTTTTCTTAAAAACAAACGAAAAACTTCCTCAATCGTAACATAACTTGGCCGAAAATGAGAGGGGCGTGAGAGATTTTTGGGATTCTTGAAGATTTGATGAGAGATTTGAAAACAAGTTGAGGATTTTTGGGAGATGAAAAATGCAGATGAGAGAAGAGGATTAAGGTTTTTCTGTTTTTGTTTTTCATTTAAAACGTCTAGGGTTTTAACAATGGGGCCTTTTTGTTTTCAAATCGTCGAAAGCCCATTAAACGTAACCCAAAACAAGTCCACAAAAATCCTTGATTTAAATTCGAAAATCTCCATAATTTTGTTTTTCTTAAATTGCGTCTGGCGCAATTTTGAAGTGGCTAAGATCTTGATYCTGCAAAAACAAAATTTTGATTTGAAATCTACACAAAAAAGCATAAAAAAGTATAAAAATTTCGCAAAAATAAGACAAAAAATATTTTAAATAAAAATGTCCTYAACACCGACAGAGTGACTGTTCTCACTGTTTTCTCGTGGATATTTCAATAATACAAAGGTTTTGCCTCTATCAATATGCCCACCAAAGTATTTCTTCACTCGATTCCCATTTAGTTTAAAATTATTACCTTCYAAATCTCTTAAATCCACAGCTCCATATGGATAAACACGTTCAACTAGAAATGGGCAAGACCATCTAGACTTAAGCTTACCTAGAGATAATCTTAATCGAGAATTGAATAGCAATCCTGAGTTTCCAAGTTCCAAATTCTTAGCCATCATTTTCTTCATGTTATTTTTTGGTTTGTTCTTTATACATCTTAGCATTCTCATAAGAAAACTGACGAAACTCATCCAACTCATTTAACTATAGCAACCTTGCTTCACCTTGCTTATTTTCTTGATAACTTCAATCTTGTATTAAGAAATTAAAATTATTAAAACGTTCCGGACATAAAAAGGCTGAAAAGTAAACAAGCATGATAATGATATACAAACTTCCCTCCTATTGATTTTACTTTAAAGAACATTTGAGACTTTCAACTTTCACTCATTTCCTCAAGCTCACTTGATCTCTCTTCTGCTACTACTATATCGTAGTTCCGCTTCTTCAAAGCACAATATGCTTGAAAGTCCAGCTCAAGGGGTAGGTGACTTACTTCTATGCATTGGTTTTTGAAAAGTGGAATTTGAGGTGCAACGTAGAACCCTTCATCTGAACCTATCTCATCTTCTCCTATTTCTTCCTCTACTAGATCCTTGAAAAGGTTTGGTCAGCTCTCCTTTCTTTATGTATTGATTTGTCTCCAAAGAATGTCGATGGAAAGGAAAAAGTGGTTCAATATTGAGAGGTAATAGAGTTAGGTCCATTGTAACCTCATGCTCAATTACCTCTACTTGTTTTTCGGGTTCAACTTCCATATTCTTCCGTACCTCGTTTATCACTTCAAATGTTGGTGGATCATCATTGTCTACTGGGAGCTCAAGTTCGTCATATTCAAGCTCGCTCTCCATACACTGATTGTCTCACTTTGTTCTTTCATATTGTTAGGCAACGCTTCCTGTGTATTATTCCTCAACTCATTGACCATCTACTCCATTTGGATTTCACTACAAGAAACTTGGGTTTTCTTACGTTTTTTTTTCCCGATGCAGAATAAATGTCGAAGAAAATCACTTCTCCCGATGCATCTAAAAAAGTCAACCTTTTCGACAGTTTGAATAGAACGTCAGAAAAAGTTTACTTTCCCCAACGGTTTTATGAATAACGTCCGGAAAACTTTGACTATTCCCAACGGTTGTGATAAAATGTCGGAAAAAGTCRAACTTTTCTCGACATTTTCTAAAAAACGTTGGGACTAACTAAACTTTTTCTCGATTTCTAAATAAGGGAAATTTTAATTCTCCCGACGTTATTCAAAAAATGTCGGGATAGTCAACTTTCTCGGCACTTTTTAAAATTGTCAGGAAAAGTTCGAATATTTTTTTTAATTATCATTCGTCTGCCTCTTTTTCTCTCTCTTTTTATCTTTTTTTCCTGTTTTTTTCGACATTATTGAAAAAACGTAGAAAAA